TTGGTCTTCACACGTTTATACGTGCATGTTTTATATTACGTCGAGCACTGTACATTACAGGCGCGTGTCTCTCGATTAACGAGCGTTCTTTATACACTGAATTCACCCTAACGAGACAACTTGAATTCAGACCCCAGTTGTTAGAAAAACGAGCAAAATGTTTGCTTAGTAGTGTATAGTGTAGTATATAGTGATATAGTGTCGTATATAGTATATAGGGTAGTATATAGTAGCGTAGTGTATAGAGTTATGTATAGTGTAGCATATACAGTAAAACCTTGGATTGCGAGTAACTTGGTCTGCGAGTGTTTTGCAAGACAAGTAAAAATTTTAAATAAATATTAATTTGATAAACGAGCGATGGTCTTGCAATACGAGCAGTGTACGTATACGCTTTGTCTGCCGAGCGTCACGTGATCAGAACTGATATACGAGAATTTTGATATACGAGTGCTTTGGATTACAAACACGTTTCCGGAACGAATTTTGCTCGCAATCCTAAGGTTTTACTGTATATAGTGTATAGGGTAGTATATAGTGTAGTGTATAGGGTAGTATATAGTAGTGTAGTGTATAGAGTAATGTATAGTGTAGCATATACAGCAGTATACTGTGTATCCCGGAATGGAGTGCACGGTGAACCCCCAGCAGTTTGTAATAATAGGGTTTTACCCCTTTTTTCTGGCAACAAACTGAAACCTTTTTACAAGGATTCATGTCTGCATTAACCACAATACCTGCAGTCAAAATGCAAACAAAAAACATACTATGATAATATATGTGGCATTGTCCTTGAAACTGATTGGTCCACACCAAGGGACGGCTTTCTTTTGAGCCTCGACCCAATTGGTGCTCGACCACATGACGCCAGAAGGCGTACAGCTCAAAGACAATGCCACTATCAAAGTAATGAGGGCTAAGGAGGGCTAATGATGTAGATGCTCACCCCGAGCCCTCATTACTTTGATAGTGAATTGGGCAAAGGAGGTCTAATGATGTAGATGCTCACCCCGAGCCCTCATTACTTTGATAGTGCATTGTCTTTGAGCTGTACGCCTTCTGGCGTCATCTGGTCGAGCACCAATTGGGTCGAGGCTCAAAAGAAATCCGTCCCTTGGTGTGGACCAATCAGTTTCAAGGACAATGCCACATATATTATCATAGTATGTTTTTTCTTTGCATTTTTCTTGCAGGTATTGTGGTTAATGCAGACATGAATTCTTGTAAAAAGGTTTCAGTTTTGTTGCCAGAAAAAAGGGGGAAAACCCTATTATTACATTTTGGTACTGGCAAAGGAGGTCTCATGATGTAGATGCTCACCCCGAGCCCTCATTACTTTGATAGTGCCATTGTCTTTGAGCTGTACGCCTTCTGGCGTCATCTGGTCGAGCACCAATTGGGTCGAGGCTCAAAAGAAAGCCGTCCCTTGGTGTGGACCAATCAGTTTCAAGGACAATGCCACATATATTATCATAGTATGTTTTTTCTTTGCATTTTGACTGCAGGTATTGTGGTTAATGCAGACATGAATCCTTGTAAAAAAAGGTTTCAGTTTTGTTGCCAGAAAAAAGGGGGAAAACCCTATTATTACATTTTGGTACTGGCAAAGGAGGTCTCATGATGTAGATGCTCACCCCGAGTCCTCATTACTTTGATAGTGCCATTGTCTTTGAGCTGTACGCCTTCTGGCGTCATCTGGTCGAGCACCAATTGGGTCGAGGCTCAAAAGAAAGCCGTCCCTTGGTGTGGACCAATCAGTTTCAAGGACAATGCATCATATATTATCATTGTGTTTTTTTCTTTGCATTTTGACTGCAGGTATTGTGGTTAATGCAGACATGAATCCTTGTAAAAAAAGGTTTCAGTTTTGTTGCCAGAAAAAAAGGGGGAAAACCCTATTATTACATTTTGGTACTGGCAAAGGAGGTCTCATGATGTAGATGCTCAAAGGAGGTCTCATGATGTAGATGCCCCAGCAGTTTGTTTACCAGCTGTGCTGCGTGCCCGCGTGTTTAGTCACGTGGGGGAGGCGGCCACGTGGTGGCGCTGTAATGGGTGGGTGGATGGGTAGGGCAGTGGCGCTCCATCTCGCATCCCTCCATTGTGACTATGAACCCAGCCACCCTGGTTCGATTCCAAGCCACGGCTAACATCAATGGCGAGTGATATTTGAACCAGCGGTCTTGCATGGCATCTGCTAAACCCTCCACCCGCGATCATCATCTACCCTTCAAACAAAATTAAATGCAAGGTCACCTGCAAGCACTGTGGTTCTTGATGTGTGGTAAAGCGTTTTAAATGCCATGTTTCATTGCTTTATTCTAACATTGGAATTTGTTTTTTTCTCACATTAACCGAAAGCTTTTCAAGAGTTTGAACATTTTGAATAAAGGTGTCAGTTTTTGGGCCAGTTAAAAGGGTAAAACCGATTTCTATATCTTGTTACTGGCAAAGGAGGTCTCATAATATTTTGAGTGCACGCCGATCCTTTCACGAGTTTTCCCTTAGCAATTTTCGCGGAACGCGTCAGCGAGAACACATCTGTACTGTAACGTACAGTGGACTTTATTAAGGTGAAGTGCAGTGTGGCATAAAGAATAGTGTGCAGTAGTGTGGTGTAAGATAAATGTTGTAGTCTGCGCTGTCATTTAGTGCATATAAGTGTGGTGTGTAGGGCATTGTGTGGTCCGTAGTGCATTGCATGAGACGTCATTTGAGGGTGTGTACGCTGAGGTTGATGTGTGTAGGGGTGAGTAGAGGGTGAGGGTGGTGTGGCTGAAGGGAGTGTGACTCGGGGTGAGTGTGTTGAGGCAGAGGTGAGTGTCAGTAGGGGGTATGTGTGCAAATCTCGCCACTAGGGAGACAAAGGCAGCCGGGCATAGTGTTGGCCATCCACCGCCTTGTGTCCAGTGTCAGCCTTCATAGGTGCTCGCTAACAGGCACTTTCCACAAAAGTCTGTTTAGGCTAAATGGGGGGTTTTTGTATATATATCGAGAGCAGAGTGTATGAGGGGCTGGTAACTCCACCTGGCACTAATTTATATCAATTACCTGTGAGCAGGACACTCTAGTGGCCACGTGGAATGTCCAAACGCTCAATTTGGAGGAGGGGCTTACATTCCCTTGTTTGGAGCTGGACAGGTACCACCTGGACCTCTATGCTATCCAGAAGGTCCAGTGGACTTGTTGTGGCTCCAGTCACCATGAGGGATGGATAGTCCTCGATTCGGCAGGAAACTTTTAAACAACAGGAAAAAAAATTCAGGGGGCAAGGCAGTGTGGAAGGCGAAGTCTGAAGTCCTAGGCTATTGCGGGCTTGCCTTCCCATGAACAGAAGGCAAGGAATTGTGTTTGTGATGGCTTACATACCCATCGAAGATGCACATCAGTGGGGGGATGCTCCAAGGCTGATGAGTAAGATCCCTTTCTCGGACCTCCTCTCCCTGTTGTTGGCTAAAGTGGCCGCTCGGGATAGCATTATCCTGTTGGGTGACTTTAATGCCGAGGTTGGTCATGACGTAGGCACCTGGGCTGGAGTGATTAGAAGGCATGGGCCAGATCAGCTCAATAACAACGGTAGGAGGTTGCTAGACAAATATGCAGCCCATGGGCTTGTGACACCAAAACGCTGTTGATCTGACATTGGAACATTCACACATCATGGATGTATGCCAGGTCCAATCAAGGGCATCTGCTAGACGACATCATTACATAACAGTGAATGTGGGGCCATGACCTTGACTCTCATCTTCCCCACTGACCATCGACTTGTAATCTGAAAATTCGCCAGCCATTTCTCCTCCACTGCCGTGGTGGGCATGCCCATAGAACCTTACTCAAGCCCACAGTGGTCTGGTCTCGGATCGCTGTTGGCGAAAGTCCCAAGCGAGAATGTAATCATCGGTTCCAGCTGCAGTTGGCGACCCCCCACCCCCATCACCAATCTCTACTCACCTCCCCTATGCAACAGCAAATGCTTCCGAGGGCAAACACACGTTGGAAAGCGTCACAGAAACCACGTGTGTGCAAGTGTGTCTCCCTTGGTTAAAATCTTAATACGAGGGGGAATATATACGGGACTTTTTTGTTAGTATCCAAAATGATGAAAAAAGTAAGAATAGATCTTCTTTGGTTCTTTCGGTAAAGTCACGTAGAATGAGAATAAAATAATAAATCGATAAAATAAAATAACACAATAATATTCTCACGACGTTTCGGCCACAACACAAGCGGCCTTCATCAGGTGAAGGGACGAGACTGTCTGGTAGGACATCACTCCAGCGCTGTCCTACCAGACAGTCTCGTCCCTTCACCTGATGAAGGCCGCTTGTGTTGTGGCCGAAACGTCGTGAGAATATTATTGTGTTATTTTATTTTATCAATTTATTATTTTATTCTCATTCTACGTGACTTTACCGAAAGAACCAAAGAAGATGAATCCTTGCAGTCACGAAAGCTTTAAATCGAAAAGTAGGAATAGATTTTACCTTTTGTGGCAATGAAACAGGTGTTAAGATGTGTTTGAACATCTGCTGTGTTTGAACATCTTAACGCAACTCCTATTATATTGCCAGAAAGGTTAAAACCTATTCTTATTTTTTGTTCACTAGGGGCACACTTTCCCACACGCCCAGCGACAGAGAAACATTCATCATAGTAAAGCATCACCTTATATCTGAACGAAGTGAAACCCCAAATTTTTTTCAGGTGCTTTTTAGTGCAGTAATTATTTGGTGACTGCATTGAAAACCATCATCTTCCTCCACTTCAAGCGCCAGTTTATTCATGGACGCCTGAAACTCTTCCCCGAATCAGGTCCTCAATGGTGCAGTCAGTGTTCCTTGCCTCCGAGATTCCGAGACACGTCTATTATGTTGACATTGAGTGATTAATATCTGATTGGTTGAAGTTGGTTCATGGGACGTAGGGAGTTCGAATAATCCAGGCATCTACGGAGCAGGAGCTGTCCCCATGTTCATCGCGAGTCCCACTCCATGCAGGAGGAGCTGAGCTCGATGAAGCTGCGACTGAGCAAGAGAGAGGGGTCGGAGATCTCCTTCGTGAACGACCTCGTGGACTCAACCAAGACTGTGGAGGTGAGGGATCACTCTGTCATCTCATGGTCACACTCGGAGAGGTAACCCGGTGTCATTAAAGACTGCAATCTGATACATGACTGCAGCAGGAAAGACTCAACAATGTATGCCACCTGTAGTCTCTGGTATAAAGCCAGGAAACGGAGTCTCCACAACTGACACCTTTTTTTACAAGGAGTCATGTTTGCATTGACCACAATACCCTGCGGTCAGAATGCAAACAAAAAACATAACTCTGATAATGTATTGGCACTGTCCTTGAAATTGATTAGTCCACACCCGAGACACCTTCTCTTAGAGCCCAGTCTCACATGGTGTTGGACCAGATGATGCCAAAAGGCGCACAACTCAAAGACAATGCACCATCAGAGTATGAGAGCTCGGGGTAAGCATTTACACCATTGGCACCTCCTTTGCCAGTAGCAAAATATGATAATTGTTTTTTTACCCTTTTATCTGGTAACAAAACTAACACCTTTTTTTACAAGGAGTCATGTTTGCACTGACCACAATACATGCGGTTGGAATGCAAACAAAAAACATAACTCTGATAATGTATTGGCACTGTCCTTGAAATTGATTGGTCCACACCCGAGAGAGACAGCTTTCCTTAGAGCCTAGTCTCACATGGTGTTGAACTAGATGACGCCAAAAGGTGCACAACAACACTATGTGAGACTAGGCTCTAAGGAAAGCTGTCTGTCTCGGGTGTGGACCAATCAATTTCAAGGACAGTGCCACATACATTATCAGAGTTATGTTTTTTGTTTGCATCCCGACCGCAGGTATTGTGGTCAATGCAAACATGACTCCTTGTAAAAAAAGGTGTCAGTTTTGTTGCCAGATAAAAGGGTAAAAAAACCAATTATCATATTTTGCTACTGGCAAAGGAGGTTCCAATGGAGTCTCCACAATTTGTGTAATGACTCTCGAGGAGTTGAGAGCGACTGTGATGTTCCATGCTGCCACTGCAGGCAGCAGCGGAGCAGATCAAGTGGAGGCTGAGCAGCAGCTACGACAAGCTCCTGTACCTCGTCTCCGAGGACAAGGCCTCGGCGCTGAGGGCCGTGGACAAAGAGCGCGACCTCAAGCTCTCGGGGATCCGGCAGGAGATTGAAAAGAGCCGGGCAACTCTGGGCAGCCTGAGGGAGGCACTGAGCAGAATCCGCGGCTTGGAGGAGACCGAAGACCCCGTGGAGTTTCTCGAGGTGCTGCCGCGTGCATGACGTGACATGGCTATGGCCCAGACTCGCCCCTTCCCGGTGTGCTTTGTCTGCTGCGTCTGGCGATAAACAATCCCCACCTCTTTGGTGGTTGCTGGTCAGTAACGTTGTAGACCCTCGCTATGCACCCCAACAATTGGAGGGAAGGCCCGATACCAATCAGCTGATACCCTCATGGCAATTGCAGCTGTCACAGTGGCCAATCATTTTTTGACCCCGTGCCCTTGAACATCTGTGAAAAAGAGCATTCTAGCTCAATGGATTCCGCCAGTATAAATAAATATTCTGATTCTGATTCCTTATGGACCATCATGGTGGTGGGCAGGCCCAGATAAAGTTGCGTGGTCGAGAGTCACATGGATGTCATCCGGCCTCTACATTCGGTTTAACGTAGGCTTTCACGACCAACATTATTCATAATAAAGGTTCTTGGATTAGATAGCGTAAGTATAAATGGGTCAACCCTCCACCACCCAATACAGCCAATTAGTAAGGGATTTGTCTTGTAAACAAAGCGCCAAATAGTTACTACTTCAACCCACCGGTGTGTTGGAGAGTAAATTCACAACGTTTAGAATTTTCGTACGACGTTTCACTGGTAATTACATCCAGCATCATCGGGCGATTTACCAGAATAGTGGCCAGAACCTGTATTATGGCCTCTACATTAATTTACATATTTTTCAACCACATAGTTCGAAAAGCTTTCCATGGCTAAACCAGAGGAATTTCCAATCTGGTACGGATACAATGGGATAATCAGTGCCCAGGAGCGGTCAAGGGATGCCTCCTTTATGGTGAACCATGTTTTTGCATGCTGATTTTCTTGGCAATTGCTGCTCACTCTAATAATTTGAAGAGTCTGCTGCTGCACCTGGAGTGTGTCACTTAGAGATCGGCCCCACAAAAATTATTAACCTGCCTGCGTATTTTTTTTGCCATCAAATACTCCCCTCCCTTCATTCCTCATGATCGATGGAGCAGTTGGGAGAGAGAGTGGTGACGTTTCTGTACCTGGACAGTGTACTTATGACCAGATCCATTTTGGCAGAGGAGCTCTTACTGAATCAGTCGAGTGGCATTTTATTTTCATCAGCTGTCTGACGCTGTGTGGAAGCTATCTGACCTATTGCTCAATATGAAGCTCAAAGTCTTCTCCGCCAAATGTATATGGTCCCTTCACTATGCTTGTGAAACTTTGCCAGTTTAAAACATTTAAACTGGCGTGCCTACAATCCCCCCTTGGTTTAACCAGGCTGGATTGTGTGAGGAGCTTAAAAATCTTTGAAAAATTTAGATACGGAGCTCCTCCGGCAGACGAGGCTGCACTGGCTGGGTCATGTAGCCTGCATACCCAGCCACTTCTTGACCAAGCAGCTTCAATGTGGCCAGATAGAGCGGGGTAAATGGGTGTCATCGGCTAGAAAAGAGATTAACTGACGTGGTACAGAAGGAAGTGGAGCTGAGTGGTCTTGCTGATGATTGGTATCAGTGGCGTTAGTATCAGCCTCTATGGAAGAGGATTGTGAAGGATGCAACTGAGGAGTAGGAGGCGGTTGCCCTTCAATAACAATGATGCTAACAACAACGAGTGGAGTGGCGGGCAGATACAATGCAGCAAGTTGATGCAGTAGGCACCACAGATGGTGCATCTGCGAGTCATCTGAGTGAGGCAACCCATGGCACCTGGGTCCATCCAGTGACCTCCTGCCAAGGAGCCATTGACAAACTCGATTTGGTGCTTTCATTAGCTGCCATTGACACTTCACGTGCCCTCAAAGTGCAACTGGCCTGGTACATGTACTGTGGGGACATCACCACCACTTCGTGGCGAATGACAGGTGTTCAATCTTGATTTGAAGTCACGTAGGTAGAAAAAAATAATAGATCACGATGTTTTGATCGCCACACAAAAAGAAAGAACCAAAGAGTATGACAGTTGTTGTTTGCTGTAGGTGTGTTCACTTCTTGATGCTAGGTGCCTCTAACAGCCGCACACACTCAGTACTCAGTGTTTAAGGGGAATTTGCTACCACTCACACTGACGCTTTGTATTGTGCATTGACTCTCTGCCGCATTTTGTCTGTGTGTTGTCGTGTTTTAGGGCTGCACTCTACACTGGGAAAGGTAGGGATGCCCCATCACACTCACGTTCAGCTCTCACGAATTCCATCGATGCTCATGAAGGACCCATGCATGGTTCTCTATGCTGCCATTTCCCCTGTTCTGAGTCTTTCTTTGATTTCTCCACCACGTCTCCACCTCGCGTAGCTTCGCAAGTCTGGAATGCGAGCAGATGGAGCCAACCGGGCCCAGCACGTTGCTGGAGTTTGAGACAACGGCTGCTCTGCAGGAGCAGATAGACGAGCGCCTGCTGTCGTTCAGAACCTCCGCACTTACGAATCCACCGCAACCCAAACCCACGACTCCTAGAGGAAGACTACCTGCAGTTGCTCGGCACGGCCTCGACAGAGCGAAACTCATCAGTAGATGTGAGTCACGCTTCGTGCAGCAAGGTTGAGGTACAGCGGGAATCTGTTGTGGATAGCAATAATGCTGTGGTTAGGATTGTAGCTTCTTTCGTCGATGATGATGAGGACGTCGTCATCAGTGTTGACCCTGTGTTGTTGTTGATGGAAGAACATACAAACTCCCCATATTCACTCAATTTCATTCACTCACGCTCTCACACTAACTCACTCGGCTATTCAAACTGTAAAACAGGGGAGAAAACATAAACTCCACTTACTCAATGACACACTCACTCTGCCTCACGCTCTGATGATAGTTATGGTGGAAGTGGTGATGGTGGTGGCGACTGGCAAAAACAACCCCCTACCTCCTTAATAGTGCTGGTCGGTAATGCTGTGGTGACTGAGAGCAATGCCATTGGTGGGAGGCCGATCACAATTGGCTGTTCCCCTCATTGCACTCGCAGCTACCACAGATGCCCACCGAGGGTTCTGGATGGGCCAGAGGGCCAGGTAACCCCTCCACCTTCATCCCAATCACCACAAAACCACGAATAACAGAGATTAAGCTAAGTTAGGGATGGAGGCTCCTGGCCAAATCTCCTGGCCAAACCTCAAGTCCGTGAGCCAGGAGACTAAAGCCACACCCTCCAGACACAGCAGGAAACATGGAGTGGCCCCATGGAATGTCCGAATGCTCACTACAGAGGAGAGGCTGCAATTCCTCTTTCAGGAGCCAGAACGGTATCGCTTGCACCTCTGCATAATACAGAAGGCCGAGTGGGCTGCTTCTGGCTCCAGTCACCATGGGGGGTGGACAGTCCTTCACTCGGGGGAGGAAACTGCCGAACAGCAGGGAGTGGCGTTCCTACTGAACAAAATAATGAATGGGATGTGTGGAGCGCGGAGGCATCGTGTGGAAGCTGTGAGTCCCAGGCTTACTGTGTATACACCTCCGCATCAACTGAAGGTGAGAAATGGTGGTGGTGGCTTACGCCCCCACAGAAGATGAACATCAGTGGAGGGATGCAGGTGTAGTGAGTTACTTTGGAACCACTATTCAGGAGGCAACAAAGTTTATTCTACATTACGTAACACCGTTACACACGGGACTACAATACACCTGACTCTTACACTCGTTAATACACGGGACTATAACACGCCTATCTCTTGCGCACACGGGATAACTATAACCGTGTCAGAGCAGCCGATGTGCTGTCTGACCCACGGTGTTAGAGACGGAGATGAAGACGAATACGTTGCATTTGGGTTCCACTTCACCTGCAGACAGCCCAGATATGCGATTGGGGTCCCCCTCTTATCCCCTCGGCGCGACCTGGCTCCACCCTTGGCCGTGCCCCCCTCTGGAACATTCTCGAAGGTTCCAGACTACCTTGCACGTGCCACCTGCCCGGCTCCGCCCTTAACCACGCCCCAGAAGATTCCCGGCTACACTTCCCGTGTCCCCTCGGTCACCTTTTCCCCCCACTCCTCACCCCGGCCCATCACGTGCTTCATCCGATGCCAGGGTGACTCGTCCTCACATGCCCCACCCCGCTAGCAGCCCTCACCACACTCCCCCGTGACCAAGTATGTGGCAATTATACTCTTTGGTTCTATTCGGTAAAGTCACGTAGGTAAAAAATAAACAAAACTCACGACGTTTCGGCCACAACACAAGTGGCCTTCATCAGGTGAAGGGACCAACCTGTCCAGAGGACAGCGTTGGAGTGAAAAGAAGTCAAGCGCAGGTCGCCTCCTTTAAGCTGCGAGTGGGTAAACAGAAAAGGCCACGTGTGTTGTGGCCGAAACGGCGTGAGTTTTCTTCTTCTTTGGTTCTTTCGGTAAAGTCATGTAGAATGAGAATAAAATAATAAATTGATAAAATAAAATAACACAATAATATTCTCACTGTGAGAATATTATTGTGAGAATATTATTGTGTTATTTTATTTTATCAATTTATTATTTTATTCTCATTCTATGTGACTTTACCGAAAGAACCAAAGAAGATGAATCATTGCAGTCACGAAAGCTTTAAATCGTCGTGAGTTTTGTTTATTTTTTTTACCTACGTGACTTTACCGAATAGAACCAAAGGGTATGGATCCTTGCAGTCACGAAAGCTTCAAATCTAGAAATTCTGTGGCAATTACTCGCTGCACTGGCGGAGTGGCTGGTATTCCCTATTCTGTCGGTAGGACTCATTGGCCTCTTTCTGCTAGCACCCGGTAGAATGCCCCTAATGACCCACTGTATGGTACTGCATGGTGTGCTAGCCTCTGCACCCATATTTCCTTGTTTTACAGCACTTAGCGCTACGTGCCGTTGTGATCCATTTTACATCACTACACAGGCAAGACTGATGAGTCAGATGCCTTCTAGGACCTGCTTCAGGTGCTGGCTGAAGTGGCCCCTCGGGAAAGAGTCATCCCGTTGGGTTACTAATTCCCGAGTGGTGATGTACGCACATAATGTAGGCACATAATTGAAGGCCAGATCAGCTCAATAAAAATGTCAGGAGGCTGCTAGACTTCCGTTCAGTCCATGGGCTTGTAATCACCAACAAGTTTTGGGAGCAGAGGTCTCCAAATCAGCTGAGCAGCATCATCTTTTTTTCAGGTGCATAATCCTGTTGTGTGGAAGCGACCTTGTCTGTCACTTCATACAAAGCTCCAGGTGTTCTCAGGCACAGTTATTTCCTCCCTTTATGTTTTAGAAATGTGAACCTCTCTAATGGAATATCTGCACCGGTTTGAAACATTCAGGCTGGCCTGCATACATTCCATCCTTGGTTTCACCAGCCTGGATTGTGTGATGAGCTCACAGTAACCTCGTTCAGCAGGCTGTATTTGCTGGGTCATGTAGCCTGCATGCCCAGCCACTGAGTCCCCAAGCAGCTGGAGAAGAAATGGACTGATGGGGTACAAGAGGATGTGGAGCTGATTGGACTTGCTGTAGACAGGTATCAGTGGTGGAGGAGGCTCATGATGGACGCTAAATTGTAGTTGAAGGCAGTCACCCTCCAGCAGCAGAGGGCAGAGGTGTGAATCTCACAACAATGAGCAGAGCGCCAGGTGGATAAAATACAGTAATTTGGCAAAGTAGAGGCACCGGTGGGAATCTGCCAGTCATCTCGATCAGTCATCTCGGTCAGTCAACCAGTGGAAACTTGGGTCTGTCGCGTGACCTCCTTCCAGCATCACGTGGCCTCAAAGTGCACCTAGCCTGGCACAAGCCCTGTGGTGACGTCACTGCCACGTCGTAGCGAATGGCAGTTGTACGTTTTCCTGCATTCTGCATTGTGAGTGAGAGTGTTGCTGATGGTGTTGATGGTGTTGATGATGTTAATTTTGCTGATGGCGATGGTTATTTTGCTGGTGGTGATGTTTCTGCCGATGGTAATCGCGATGTTGATGGTGGTGATGTTGGTCTCCCAGATGGATGTTCACCGACTTTTGACACGAACTCAGCCCATAACCTGCTCCAGATTTCCCCGGATCTCAGGATGGTGGCGGTGACCCGCGACTCTCAGCGCCACCCCAATCACCCCCTCCGGTTTGAGTTCTGTCCACAAGTCCTGTGCTGCGAGAGCTTCTCGTCGGGTCAGCACTACTGGGAGGTGGACCTTGGGAACAAGAGCCAGTGGTGTTGGGTTGGAGCCGCGTACGGGACGATCCCGCGGAAAGGAGACAATGCTGCATGCACCCTGGGAATGGGCGATGAGTCTTGGTGCTTAAAGAAAGATGGCACCCGCTTTTCAGTGAGTCACGGTGGAGTGGAGATCCCAGTAGAGGTGAGGGAGCCTCTCCGCAGAGTCGGGGTTCTTCTGCACTGGGAAGAGGGGCTCCTGGAGTTTTACCGAGCAGACTCAATGCAGTCCCTGCACGCAATTCACTACCGGTTCACTCTGCCTCTCCACCCCGCACTGGGGGTGGGGGGTGATTCCATGAGGATCATTGATCTGAGTTGTGAATCCTGAGGGTAGAGAGCGACAGAAATCCAAGAAACAGAATGGAAGTTAGAGGGGTGAGGGGGAGGGGTGGTGACGGTGGAGGGGTGAGGGGAGGGGTGGTGACGGTGGAGGGGTGAGGGGAGGGGTGGTGACAGTGGAGGGGAAGGGTGAGGGGTGAAGGTGGAGGTGAGCGTCGGATAGGGATGGTTTAGTTTTATTTGTAAGTTGTTGGGTGATTTGTTTGCCTTTCCTGCACTTTGTATTGGTTATTGTTGTAATGGTTTTACCCGCCCCAACAAGACATCTATTAAAAAGAGCTGTAAAGCTCATCGGATTCATCTAGTATACTATTCTGATTTCGACTCCGCTGGTGCAGGCGTTTGAATTATTTTAATAAAATGTGAGGAATCGGCCCAGCTGCGTGGTGTGATCCCTGCTTCAACTGGACTGTTTGGCGTTGTCACCAGTGCAAACCTAACCATATCCTGTATAATTTCTACTTCTGTATATGTGCACCAGAGGGCATCACGTCGCATTGTACTTTACAATCTGTAGTACTATAGACAGCTGCAACCCAACACCACTGCCCCGTGTTCCCGAGGTCCGCTTTCCAGTAGCGCTGACCCGACAAGATGCTCTCGCAACACAGGGCGTCACGTATCCTTGAATTGTACAACTTGTACAAGTGTATGTGGGCACCAGATGGGTGGGAAGAGTGAGGGTGGGGTGATCCTCACCACCGACCAAGAGGAGGGGTGGGCGCTTGGCCAAGCCTCGCTGGAGGTCGTTAGACTGTGGTGCGGCCTGTTCAGCACGTGGCCAGCCTGTCCTTGCCTGCGCACACTGCTTCTGAGAAGTTTCCTCAATGTCTCCACAACGACCAGGAGCTGCTCTTCCAGCTCTCCTCGTTACACCTCTCCACCAAGCCATTAAACTAGGGGTTGTAGGGGGTGTGTAAATATTTGTTTAATAGGCAACAACAGACCTATTTTTCTCATAAGCTCTACAGTGAATTGTCCCTCTTTCACCCAATAGCTCCTATAGGACTTCTGTTCCATTAGAGCTTCTGCCACCTCCATTGTCCCTATAGATTTCAATATCTTCGCATCTGGATAACGTGTTGCGAAATCCACCATTGAAATAGTGTAGGCTTATAATTGATATTTACCCAAGGGAGCCTTCGGCATCTGGCCTTAGCTATTGTCTGTTGACAGGCATCACACGACTGGCAATATCAGAATTGACATCCGGCCAATAAATGTTTGCGAGCTTGTGTGCGTGCTACTTCCATATGACCAGCCATTAATGAGTCATCTGCCAACCTCATTGTTTGTGTAGTGAGTCCAACTGAGTCGCAGACGTTGGTCTTGGGAGCAACACATTTTATTCAACTCTTAGCACAACATACTCCAGGCTATGAACACAACACACTTTTGGGTGGCGACCACCCAACTAACCACGCTACGGCGGAACCAGACACGGTTCCGCTATCCCGGTCCGGACCACAAGCTGGGTCCCGGACCACGTGGCTGGAGGCTTCTTCAAGCTTGACGTGGATCTCCTGCCTCTCCAACAGTAAGAACCCCGAGCCCTACTCTTTGGTTCTATTGGGTAAAGTCACGTAGGTGAAAGTAAAACAACAAAAATTCACGACGTTTCAGCCACAACACAAGCGGCCTTCATCAGGTGAAGGGACGAGACTGTCTGGAGGACAGCGCTGGAGTGGAAGAAGCCACAAGCTCAGATCGCGACCTTTAAGCTGTGTGAGAAGAAAAAGACCAACCGCCTTGACAAAGGAATTAGCATATAATTTAGCATTGAAATGGCTCATTGAAATAGCTATACACATCCCCAGCGGTACCTCTTGACAGAAATAGCTATGTTAAAGTTAGAGCATATACATTCACCGAGGCACCTAGTACTCATCAAACAGGAGAATTTAGCGAAACACAACCACGCTCAGACATCGGACCTGTGTGCGAGCAAACAAGGTGTTCTGACAAAGAAATTAGCATAAAAATTAGCATTTGATTGGCGGATTTTAGGAAAGAGGTGGTGTACGTGCCGGTGGACTTACAGTTTGGCGCGGGGGGAAGGGGGGAGGGGGAGTTTACCTATTGATGGTGTGAAAAGGGGGAATTTATAAGAGCTGCGAAAGTTTGGGGTACCACTACTTGAAAAATATACTGTACCATTGAAATTAGTTTAATGTTTAGTTCGATTTAGAACATCTTTCCAATGGTTGCTTAATTTGAAACCATCCTCTCGGTTGAAATTGTGTCTGTGTTTGTAGATCTGAATTGCTTCATGAACAAATCTCTATAAAAGCCCGTGGGTTTGCAAAGAACCTTGGTATCGGAGAAAAATATATCGTGATCCCCCACAGCATTGTAACAGTGATCAGCCACGGCAGAAGAATTCGTTTTGCCGTGTTTCAAATCAGATTTGTGCTCGCGAATTCGGTCAGAGACATGTCGCTTTGTCTCACCGATGTAGCAATCACCGCAGGTACAACTCAATTTGTAAACCCCGGGGTACTGTAAATCAGGAATGACATCCTTCACGGATGGGATCAGATCACGAATTTTGTGTACTGTATTGAACCGGACCTGGATCTTGTGTTTGTTTAGAATTTTGGAAATCTTTTTAGTAACACCTGCTATATATGGAAGTGTGATGGTTTTGACCGGAGTATCAAGTGGTTGTTTCTGTATGGAGGGAGAGACAGCTTGGCGGATGGTACGGTCAGAGTAACCATTCCTTTTGAGGGCCAGGTGTATATGTTTTAATTCACTGGTCAGGTGGTGTTGGTCCGAAATGCAATGAGCCCTATGGTATAAAGTTTTGATGAGAGAATTATTTTGGGCTGGGTGGTGGTGGGAATCAGGTTTCAAGTAGGAATCTGTGTGGGTGGGTTTCTTGTAGACAGAATGCCCCAATGAGCCATCAGGTCTCCTCTCAAACAGAACATCTAAGAATGGTAGCTTGCCATCTTTCTCCACTTCCATGGTGAATTTGATGGCGGGATGTCTGGAACTTGATGTGGTGTAGGAAAAGGTTCAGAGCTGGGAGGCCATGTGGCCAAATGACGAAAGTGTCATCCACATATCTCTTCCACAGGGAAGGTCTGAGGGTGGAAGTCTGGATGGCGTCTGATTCAAATTTCTCCATGAAAATATTGGCTATCACTGGTGATAAGGGGGATCCCATGGGGGTACCCTCATTTTGTTTGTAGAAGGAGCCATTCCAAGTAAAGTAGGTATTATTGAGGCAGTGCCTAACCAGTGCAGGTGTTCATATTCTTAGTTTTTTCGGTAAAGTCACGTTGAAGAGAAACACGTTGAAGAGAAACAACAAAATAACAAAATATATATATTTTGTTATTTTGTTGTTTCTCTTCAACGTGACTTTACCGAAAAAACTAAGAATATGAATTACTGCAGTCACGAAAGCTTTAAATCAAAATTCAGTGCAGGTGTGTCGGGGTCTAGTCCATGTTGGACCAAATTTTCAATTATTTCAATGGTATCAGGTACTGGGACCTTGGTGAACAAAGAGACCACATCGCAGCTGACAAGGATATTGTCAGGGGACAGTACAACGTCTTTGACCATAAAGACCAATTGGGCTGAGTTAAGTACTGCTGAGGCGGTCTTGCCAGTGAAAGGCAGCAAGGTATCTGACAGAAAACGGGCTAGTCTATAGGTAGGGGAGTTGATCGTGGATACGATGGGTCGAAGTGGGGTGCCTAGATTCTATGGTCTTCCCAAGATTCATAAAGAGCCCCAAAAAGTAGTAGACAATTTTAACCTTCATTTTTCTGAAGATGGTGACCTTTTTAATAATGTATTGGGAGAAACCCCTACTCATCCAATTTCCTACACGCCTGTCCAAACATTCAACGATTTTAGTTTCCAGCCTATCCATGAAAGAAATGTTCTGAAATAACTTTCCTACCTCAAAGGGTCCTCCTCTACCGGAGCGGATAGCATTCCCATCTTTGCTCTGCTAACTGTTGGTCAACTAATTTACAAACCTATAGCCCATATTTTCAACCTCTCCATCAAAGAAGCATCAGTACCTCTAGAATGGAAACATTCCTATCTTCGTCCACTTCACAAAGGGGGTCCTAAAGATGATCCAAATAACTACCGACCTATCTCAATTTTTGAAAAAAAATTGAACTATCAAATGAGCAGTTTCCTGTCCAACAACAATCTCTTACATGGAAACCAATCTGGGTTCCGAAAAAAATACAGCACTACATCTGCTGCATTAGACTATCTGAATCACATTTACAGTTGTCTTGATAATAAGCAGTACTGCGCCAGTATTTTTCCTGACTTGTCCAAAGCCTTTGATACAGTCGACCACAACACCCTGCTTAGTAAACTAAGTTACCTCCGTTTCTCCAAACACGCAGTGGAATGGTTAAAAAATTACCTCTCTTCTCGCACCCAAACTGTATTCATAGATGGCTGGACGTCAAACAGTGTTAAGATAACAAAAGGGGTTCCACAGGGTTCCATCCTCGGCCCCCTCTTGTTCTCTCTTTATGTCAATGACTTGGGCACTGAACTGGATCATTCCAGGGTAAATCTTTTTGCAGATGACACGATACTGATTACTGCTGGCCGCTCTCCGGATGACGTGATTGCTAAGCTCCTGGGTGATTTCAACAAACGACAACATCAGCTAGTTTCTCTTAAACTAGTCCTGAATACCTCCAAAACCAAGGTGCTATGTTTCTCTCCGGGATTAAAGCAGGAAGTTTTTTCCCCCAATTACATTCCTTGAATAATTATCAAATAGAGCAAGTCAAGATCTATAAGTATCTTGGGGTCATCCTGGATTCCAAACTTAGTTTTGAAGATCACATTGATTATATTGGTAAAAAGACAAAAATAAAAATTGTTTTTCTGTATCGACACAAGCACTGCTTCCCCCCAATGTTCCGTTTGGAATTGATAAAAGCTACCATACTGCCTCTACTTGACTACTGTGACATCGTGTATAAATCAGCCCCAAGTACTGCACTGAAGAAGCTTGATTCCATATATCACTCGGCCTTAAGATTTGCATTGAACTGCCCATATAGGACTCACCACTGTGATCTCTACATTGGGTCAAACGTAACATATCTTAATGTTCGACGGCTTGTGCACCAAATCTTATTTATTCACAATGCACTTACAAAAAATTCCGCAGACTACCTACTGGATCTCCTCTCTGTTTCAAAGAACAAATTTGACCTCAGGTCTTCGCTCATTTACCAGCTTCACATTCCCTATTGCCGTACTAAAACTGGAGGAAGGGCCTTTGCTATTGATGCCCCCAGGGTCTGGAATGCTATTGCCAATAAACTGCAACTTGAATCACTACCTATCAGATCTTCACTCAAAACTGCTCTAGAGGAGTTGTACAACCCTAGCTGCCACTGCTATTCAGTGGCCTAAAATATGGCTCTAGATTTTGGTGTTACAATTAATTTATGTAGTTTATTGTAAAAAAAATTCGGTCACAGTCCCTATGATCACTGTTACATTGGATTTATGGCTTTTATTTTGGTGATTTCGAAAAGTTTTTTTTGGCCATGTTTTTGTTTATTGTAGTACCGAGTTGACTGATGGCCTTAATCTTAGTTGTCTTGTGGTTGTTGTTGTTGTTTTGACTTGCATCCCACTGGGATTTTTGCGCACAGCGTTGGTGTACGGTGCTATTTCAGGAATATTTTGATGTTTTTTTCCTGTATTTCTGTTTGCACAGTCACACAAAGTAGTCACTTTAAGAAGTTTTCTTGTTCGTGTTGTTTGTTTGTTGCGGGTGCACCCGATTCAAGAGCCGAATGGCTCACAGGGCTATACCAAATAAATGAACTATGAACTATGACTCCCGACGTCACTTCCTGGTTCAGGGGTCGTCTCGTGACGTCATCGAGCGCGAGACTCCCCCACCCACCCCTCTTCCCCTCCCCTCACTCTGAGCCGTTTCGGGCTCGATGACGTCACGAGACGACCCCTGAACCAGGAAGTGACGTCGGGGAGTCGACTCCGTGCGTCTCTGAGCAGAGGTGCTGATGGTGGTGGTTGTGGTGGTGTTGTTGTGGTGTTGTTGTGGTGGTGGTGTTGTGTTGTGGTGTTGTTGTGGTGTTGTCGTGGTGGTGTTGTGGTGGTGGTGTTGTGGTGGTGGTGTTGTTGTGGTGGTGTTGTGTTGTTGTGGTGGTAGTGTTGTGGTGGTGGTGTTGTGGTGGTTGTTGTGGTGGTGTTGTGGTGGTGGTGTTGTGGTGGTGGTGTTGTGTTGTTGTTGTGGTGGTGTTGTGGTGTTGTTGTGGTGGTGGTTTTGTGGTGGTGTTGTGTTGTGGTGGTGTTGTTGTGGTGGTGTTGTTGTGGTGGTATTGTGGTGGTGTTGTGGTGGTGGTGTTGTGGTTGTGTTGTGGTGGTGGTGTTGTGGTGGTGTTGTGGTGGTTTTGTTGTTGTGGTAGTGTGGTGGTGGTTGTGTTGTGGTGGTGGTTGTGGTGTTATGTTGTGGTGGTGTTGTGTTGGTGGTTGTTATTTCAATGAGCCATTTCAATGCTAAATTCTATGCTAATTCCTTTGTCAAGGCGCTTTGTTTTCTTCTCACACAGCTTAAAGGTCGTGATCTAAGCGTGGCTTTTCTCACTCCAGCGCTGCCCTCCAGACAGTCTCGTCCCTTCACCTGATGAAGGCCGCTTGTGTTGTGGCCGAAACGTCGTGATTTTTTGTTATTTTATTTTCACCTACGTGACTTTACCCAATCGAACCAAAGAGTATGGTGGTGGTTGTGTTGTGGTGGTGGTGGTGTTGTGGTGGTTGTGTTGTGGTGGTAGTGTTGTGGCGGTGGTTGTGTTGTGGTGGTGGTGTTGTGGCGGTGGTTGTGGTGGTGTTGTGGTGGTGGTGTTGTGGCGGTGGTTGTGTTGTGGTGGTGGTGTTGTGGTGGTGGTTGTGTTGTGGTGGTTGTGTTGTGGTGGTGGTGGTGTTTTGGTGTTGTGTTGTGGTGGTGGTGTTGTGGCGGTGGTTGTGTTGTGGTGGTGGTGTTGTGGTGGTTGTGTTGTGGTGGTGGTGTTGTGGTGGTTGTGTTGTTGTTGTGGTAGTCTTTGGTTCTATTCGGTAAAGTCACGTAGGTAAAAAAAATAAAACAGCAAAAATCACGACGTTTCGGCCACAACACAAGGGGCCTTCATCAGGTGAAGGGGACCGTACTGTCACGAGGACAGCGTTGGAGTGAAGACAGTCCAGTCCAGGTCGCGTCCTTTTAAGCTGTGTGGGAGTAAACAAAACGCTTTGACAAAGGAATTAGCATAACATGACCGAAAAGCACAAGAGGACCGGCACGGGGTGGCGGTTTACAAATGTATGTGTGAAGCGAAATAAGCTTCTATGAAAGTTTGGTATGTCACTATTTGGATAAATGCTATTGAAAATTAGTTTAATGTTCGGTATGATTTAGAACATCTTTCCAATGGTTGCTTAATTTGAAACCATCTTCTCGGTTGAAATTGTGTCTGTGTTTGTAAATCTGAATTGCCTCGTGGACAAATCTCTGATGATAACCCGTGGGTTTACAAAGGACCTTGGTATCGGAGAAAACTATATCGTGATCATCAACAGCGTTGTAACAGTGATCAGCTACGGCAGAAGAATTCGTTCTGCCGTGTTTCAAATCTGATTTGTGCTCGCGAATTCAGTCAGAGACATGTCGTTTCGTCTCCCCGATATAGCAATCACCACAAGTGCAGCTCAATTTGTGACTTTACCGAATAGAACCAAAGAGTATGGATCCTTGCAGTCACGAAAGCTTCAAATCTAGAATTGTGGTAGTGTTGTGGTGGTTGTGTTTTGGTGGTAGTGGTGGTTGTGTTGTGGTGTTGTGGTGGTCGTGGTTGTGGTGGTCGTAGTTGTGGTGGTCGTAGTTGTGATGGTAGTGGTTGTGGTGGTCGTAGTTGGGATGTTCGTAGTTCTGGTTGTGGTTGTCGTGGTTGTGGTGGTCGTGGTCGTGGTTGTTGTGGTCGTAGTTGTGGTGGTGGTTGTAGCGGTTGTTTTGGTTGTGGTTTTAGTGCTTGTAGTAGTGGTGGTTGCTGCAGGGACGAGTCAAGGTTCTTGTAGGCCCTAAGTGACAACTTTCAACAGCTGCTACTGCTGCCCACGTTACTACCACCGCTGCCTTGGATCTGGCCGAGATTTAGCCAGGCTGCTTTATGTGAGGAGCTCGCAAATCCTTGAAAGATCTGGACAGTCCCATCGGTGAACTCCTCCAACAGGCGAGGCTGCGTCGGCTGGGTCGTGTGCCCCGTATACCCAGCCACTGCCTGCCCAAGCAGCTTTTGTTAAGTTATATACAGGAGCCTAAACGAGTGTGTCATGGGCTAAAGATGAGTGATGGGATACAGGAGGATGTGGAGCTGAGTGAACTTGCTCACGACTGGTACCAGCGGTGTCAAGATCCGCCTCTCGAGGAGGAGGAGGCTCGTGAAGGACGCTACTGGACAGTTGGGAAGCAGTCGCCCTCCACTAACAACGGAGGGCAGAGGAGCGACACTCACAACAACGAGCGGAGCGCCGGGTGGCTAAAACACATCGAGCTGGCACAGTAGAGGACACAGGAGATGCATCTACCAATTATCTCGGTCAACCCATTGTATCTGGGTCTGTATTGTGACCAGCCAGCAGGCGTTCAACAATTCACGTGGCCTTAGAGTGCACAGTGTCTGGCACAACCACGTGGTGATGTCACAACAGTGGCAAATAGGTTATTGTTGTGTGTATGTGTATATATATTGTGTGTAATATGTATGTATAGCTACTGGGTGTACTGCATGTGATCGATGCCCGGGTGGAGTCGAGGGATGGCTCCTTATTGGTCAACCATGTTAGGAGCCATCTATAAATGACATCACGCGAATTTGGCAGATTTTTGACCCCCCTCCCTCGTCACACGGCGTCACAAGAAGTCAGACCCCCCTCAAATATGACGTCACGAAGCTCTGCCCCCCTGCCAAAACCATATTTCCATTTTGAATATAAAACATTCTTCAAATCACTTTAAACTATTGTCATTGTAGTGCGTATTTATTGTGGCGCTGGACTCTGATGTAGGAGAAAACATTTAATAGGAGCCGTTGGAAAGCTGAAATTTACCATAAAATTCACTTGAAAATATTCAAGGATTAATTAAAACTGTAAATGTTAAGAATATATTGAAATTCTAAGCAAAATGCTCCTTCATGGAATAAATAAAAGGTGACCTTAGTAAATTTAAATAATCAAATAGTTAATAATGAAAATTTATCAAAATTAGTGTTATAACAATTCTATTGTTTATATTTATTTCAAGTTGCGTATTTTGACGTGACGTCACATCAAATCCCCCCTCCCCCCCTCGTCACGCATCGTCACAAATGTCTGACCCCCCTCCCCCCCTAGGTGTGTGACGTCATTTATGGACGGCCCCTTATGTTTGCTGATCTGGTGATTGCTGCTCAGAGGAGGAGTTGGAGGCGCTGCTGCTGAACCTGGAGTGTGCCACAAAGAGGTGGGGTCTTACCATCAGCCCCACCAAAACTAAGCACCTGCCTGGGTATTTTGTGTCATCAAAGACTCCACCCCCTCAGCTCCCCATTGGTGGTGTAGCAGTTGAGAGGTTGGAGAGTTTCCCATACCTGGGCAGTGTCCTCATGTCCAGCACCAGTTTGACAGCAGAGGTCTCACTCTGAATCAGTCCAACAGCATTTGCATTTAATCGACTGCATAATTCTGCGTGGCAGCTACCTCGCCTGTCGCTCCACACGAAGCTTCAGGTCTTCTCGGATACAGTCATTGCCCTCCCTTGCGAAATGGTGAGCCCCCTCTAGCTGAACATCTGCCCCAGTTTGTAATATTCAGGCTAACCTGTCTACAATCCATCCTGGGTTTAACCACACTGGTTTGTGTAAGTTGTTCAGGGATCATTGCAAGATCTGGACAAAGTCCCATCAGTGTGCCACAATGGTGAGATGTTAACTACATCGCCTGGTATACAGGAGGTCATAGGTTCAATCCGGACCCTGACATTTAGAAACATACTTTTAGATGATAAGCCACTTCGTTGAGCTATCATTTGTGGCCAGGTCATTTCTGAAAAAGAGATATATTGCTCAGTGGGCTTTACCTGGTGTGATAAAAATATTTAATCGTTTTAAAACAAAAATCTGTGAGCTCTCCTGGCAACGAGTCTGCATTGGCTGGGTTATGTCGCTCGCATTCCCAGCCACCGCATGGCTAAGTATCTGTTCGGATGGGTCTTTCATTTAGTTTAGTTTCATTTATTAGGTATAACCCTGTGAGCCATGCGGCTCTTGACTCGGGTGCAACCACAACAAAACAAAAACATGAACAAGAAACATCTTAAAGTGACAACGCGCAACAGAAAAATCCTGGAAAAGACAGCAAAGTCTTCAAGAAAAAACACCGTATTTCAACGCTGTGTGCAAAAATCTCAGTGGGATGCAGGTCAAACAATAACAACCATAAGACAATGTAGATTAAAGTTTTCAGCATGAGTAGCAGAATCCAAAATGTTCAATACACCTTTAAAGATCAGCACACTATAATCAAAACTCAAGATCATACTTTGTAGCATTCATCCGGAGCGAAACATTTTATTTCAGGCCATTCTGAATAGCAGTGGCAGCTAGGGGCGTACAACTCCTCTAGAAGATCTCACAGGTAGTGATCCAAGTTGCAGTTTATTGGCGATAGCATTCCAGACCCTGGGGGCATCAATGGAAAAGGCCCTTCCTCCAGTATTTGTACGGCAATAAGGAATGTGAAGCTAGTGAATGAGCGAAGACCTTAGGTCACATTTGTTCTTCGAAACAGTGAGGAGATCCAGCAGGTAGTCTGCTGATTTTTTTGTAAGTACATCGTGAATAATACTACGTGTAGGTGTATAATCTGTGTATATTGTGTGTAATGTGTTTATCTCATGTCCCCTGGGTGTACTGTGTGTCAGTATGTAACGCGTGTGTATATTGTGTAAGCTGTATAATGTGTGTGTATCGTGTATATTGTGTGTAATTGTGTGTATATATTTGCTGCGTGTAATGTGTAGGTTGAATGACATGAAGCAGAGACTCAAGACAGCCCAGTGCTAGAAGGAAGCAATGCGAGCAGTGTCCATACGACATGAGCCACACTGGACACATTCATTTGTACCACAAATCACACATGGCCAAGAAGGCCTTCAAGTGTACTGTATGCGAGAAGGTATTTCGACGTTCATCACAACTTAGAACTCACCAGAGACAGCACACAGGAGAGAAGCCCTTTAAGTGCACTGTCTGTGGTAAAGCGTTTACACGTTCAGCATCTCGTCACGCTCACCAGAAAACACACACAGTCGAAAAACCCTTCAAATGCACTGTGTGTGGAAAGGCATTTGCAGGTTCAGGAATTTTTTTGCAACATCAGAGAACACACTCAGGCGATAAGCCCTTCAAGTGCACTTTGTGTGAGAAGGAATTTAGACATTCATCACAACTTAAAATTCACCAGAGAACACACACTGGCGAGAAACCCTTCAAGTGCACTGTTTGTGGTAAAGCGTTTACACGGTCAGCATATCTTAACATTCACCAGAGAACACACTCAAGTGATAAGCCCTTCAAGTGCACTTTGTGTGAGAAGGCATTTAGACAGTCATCACAACTTCAAATTCACCAGAGAACACACACTGGCGCCAGTCCCTTCAAGTGCACTGTTTGTGGTAAAGCGTTTACACGGTCAGCATCTCTTAACATTCACCAGAGAACACACACAGGTGAGAAGCCCTTCAAGTGCACTGTGTGTGGTAAAGCGTTTACACAGTCAGCATATCTTAACATGCACCAGAGAACACACACAGGCGAGAAGCCCTTCAAGTGCACTCTGTGTGGTAAAGCGTTTACACAGTCAGCATATCTTAAAATTCACCAGAGAACACATACAGGTGAAAAGCCCTTCAAGTGCACTGTGTGTGGTAAAGCGTTTACACGCTCAGAATCTCTGAACAATCACCAGAGAAAACACACAGGTGAAAAACCCTTCAAATGCACTGTGTGTGGAAAGGCATTTGCAGGTTCAGCAAATTTTTCGCAACATCAGAGAACACACGCAAGCGATAAGCCCTTCAAGTGCACTTTGTGTGAGAAGGCATTTAAACAGTCATCACAACTTCAAATTCACCAGATAACACACACTGGCGAGAAACCCTTCAAGTGCACTGTTTGTGGTAAAGCGTTTACACGCTCAGCATATCTTACCATTCACCAGAGAAAACACACTGGCGAGAAGCCCTTCAAGTGCACTGTGTGTGGTAAAGCATTTACACAGTCAAGATATATTAAGAATCATCACCAAAGACAACACACAGGCGAGAAGCCCTTCAAGTGCACTGTGTGTGGGAAGTTATTCGCACGGTCAGACGACCTAAATTGGCATGAGAAGATCCATGTGGAGGAGGTGGAATCGAGCCCATCTCGCATGCAACAAGACCCAAAAGACAACCCGAGTTTAGCAACGTGGCCAGCAGTGAAGGTTGAACGGGAAGACGTAAAGGGGGAATGTGAAGAAGTGAAGGTGGATCGTGAAAAGGTGAAGATGGAATGTGAAGAAGTGAAAGTGAAATCTGAAGATGAAGACTCAACTCCAGGCCCCGATCTCCAGGTGGATGGAGGCAGCGTCAAGCAGGAGCAGCTTTCGGACTCTGAGGGAGGGCCAGGCGACCCCCATGAAGTTGTGGATGTGGAGGTGTGGGTGGAGTTTTTGGGGGAGGGATCGTGCAGTGGTTAGTGTGCCGCCTTACGAGCGCGGGGAACCCGAGTTTGATTCCCGTTCACGGTCGACATCGGTGACAATTATCTGAATTGGTCCTGGGTCAACTCAGCCTCAAATGAGTACCTGGTGTGGTGCCTAAACACCACTGGGGAGACAAAGGCGGACGGGCATGGTGCTGGCCACCCACCCCCTCGCGTGCCGTGCCGACCTTCATCGGTGCTCGCTGCCACACTTCTGTTCAGGCTCTCAAGGGGCAAATTTATCTTCGAAGTTTTTGGACAAAGCAGAGTAAGAGGGCCCAGCACGTTAGAAGTGGGGTCTGGAAAGGTCTGAAAGAATTCCCAATGAAGGTCGCCTTATTTACAGGCATCTCTCATTACAACAATGCGTGCAGCTGTCGGCGTCGTCCACTCGGAGATTACCTTTCATTTAACGTAGCTACCCCAAAGCCTTGGGAACCACTTAAGAAGTTTTGTCTCTTGGAATCTCCATCCGGCCATCTTCTGTCCTCATTCAAACTGACTCCCTTATTAAAATCACCAACGTTTAGGTGTGAATGTTATTTTACAACGTTATTACTATTATTACATATCTTTGTTTCTAATCTATAATTGGGTGGAATGCTTTGATGTTACCTATTGGCCCGAGTCGCCCTTGAAACACATCTCTGCTCAATGGGCTTTGCTCGGAAAATACACTTCTGGTTCTTCGGATTCTGTAAATCTGATGGCATTGAAAACATTATTTAGCATTACGAACGAATGATTACGCATCAACCGATTGTAAGTCTCGATGTAACAATTTGCGTGTATCAGGGTCACGTATAGAATATGGGATGTATGGACAGATCGATTGCGTGTTATGAATATGAGCAATGCCCTTGTATTCATGTGACTGCGGAAGTTTGTGCGAAACGAACTGTCAGCTTAGAAGTGTTGGTGCCATCTTCCTCGCGAGAACAGTTCATAGTTTTCTTTAAAATAAGGAAGCTAATGGGACCTCTCTCGGCCTCGCTGTCCATTTCTCTGCACCACTTCGTCTAATAACACAGATCAAGGATAAGCATCAACACTCCGATGTGTTTAATTAAAAACGAAATGAAACTGGTGGATAAACAACAGATAAAATATATATTTTAAAAAAAACTTTTTTTAAACACGCTTTTATTAAATGTACTGAAAAGTAAGAAATAAATATTTTCTGTTCAAGTACTTTGCATTATTTATGTTTCATATACTCTTGTTGTAACTGACTAAATAAAAGCGTGGGGCGCCCGTACTATTTTTGAGCAAATGTGTGTATTCACAATGGGAAGTAAGTGTTCATATCTTGTTAATATGTTACAATTTGAACGGCAATGTTTTAAGCCGTTTATTTTTGGGAATGCCTGCATTGAGAATGTAAAGTAACTGTTCGTATGTAGTGAATATCTTAATATTGTAACGTACAACTTTTCACGCGTTGATGATTGTGAATATGTCTCGATTGACAATCGCAAGTAACTGGTGATATGTTGGTCATATGTTGTAATGTAAACGTGTAAGTTGTTAAGCCTTTTTATTTTTGTGAATGTCTGCATTTACAATAGAAAGTAACTGCTCATATGTTGTTTGTATATGTTCTAATGTAACGTTAAGTTTGTAAGCCCTTTATATTAGTGCATATGTAGTGTTCGATTTCACTCGGACAACTTCTGTCTTTCTTCGAACACCGCTTTATTTACAACTCTCAGCATGTCCTCCACATTCCACAATATCCAGGTCGCCACGGCTCACTCGCCGTGCTTCACTCGACTCGCTCGCCACCTTTGTCTCTCCACTCTCCACGATTACTTCGCTTACTCCGCACTCAGCGACTCCGCACTGAGCGACTCCGCACTCAGCGACTCCCACACAGCGACTTCGCACACAGCGACTTCGCACACAGCAACTCCACCCTTCACCTCTTAACTCCAACTATTTCTCTCAAACTCTGTCTTCCAACCTCTGTCTCTCAAACTCTGTCTTCCCTAAGCTCTCCAACGTCAACCCATCTCCAAGCTCTCCGCTCTTCGACCTCTCTCCAAGCTCTCCACCATTCGACCCATCTCCAAGCTCAACTCCTTCAACTCAACTACCCTCTGTTGACTCCGACTCCCGCTCTTATACCCGCTCTCATTACACCCCCGATTAATTAACCCGCGTCCCAACGGCGCTCCGCGTTACCGTCGCACCTGTTTCTCGCCAGACTTCCAGACGCCTCTCCAGCCCCGGCAACAGCACCAACCAATCGCAGCCGTCCACGGCTCTCCCAGCCTAATTGCCCCAACATAACCTGCACTGTATTCGCCTTTGCTACAGGCTGACCCAAGATAACCCATACTGTCTGTGTCATCATGTAATCACGCTGTTTCCACAACGCACCTTCGTACTCCACTACACATATATTTGTATTTGCAATAGAAAGTAACTGCTCATATGTTGGTTATATGTTTTAATTTAAACGTCAAATTTGTATGGCGTTGATTTATGTGCATATATCTGCATTGGCAATGGAAAATAACTGTCATATGTTAATGTTATCATTTGAAAGTTTAGTATTTCAGCCGTTTATTTTAGTGAATGTCTGCATTGCCAATGGAAAGTAACTGTCCATATGTTGTAAATATGTTGTAATTCTAACTGTAAGTTTGCATGGCGTTTTTGTTTTCTCATGTCAGGATTGGCAATGGAAAGTAACTGGGCATATGTTGTTAATGTTGTAATTAAAATGTTTTGTTTTAAAGCCGTTTATTTGTGTGAATGTGTGCATTAATGAAAATTAACTGCTTATTTGTTGGTAATAGGTTGTAATCGAGACGTACATTTTTTAAGCCGCATATATTTGTTAATGTCTGAATTGGCAATGTAAAGTAACTGCGCATATGTTATATTCTCCAAAAATACAGCAGCAGGCGTCATGGTTGGGATCGAACCCACGACCTCCTGCATACCAGGCGAGGTAGTTAACATCACCTAGCCACTGTGGCATCTCTTAAATAAACAAATCAGGTATACAAGTTCAAATTGCATTTGTTCATCAATTCCCAAGTGTGGAAAAGGCAGTAAACAACAGAAACACTCCCCAGACCACACGAAGACAACACACATACTGTCCCTCAGTAACATTGTACAACACTAAAAGTGAACTTAAATTTTGATTTAAAGCTTTCGTGACTGCAGGGATTCATATTCTTGGTTCTTTCGGTAAAGTCACGTAGAAGGGAAACAATAAAATAAAAATATAAAACAATAAAATTCTCACGACGTTTCGACTGCAACACAAACAATCATCAGGTGTGAAAACCACAGCAAGAAAATTTGAAAAACGTGGCGGTTATTTTTTAACGTTAGCACCACGGAGAGCGATTTGTCAGTTTGTTCAGATGGACGAGTCCATATATGTTCGGAAAAGAGGAGGGGGGAGACGAAAAATAATGGATGCGGTCTGAAAGCCACCTTAAGCATAATCAATCAGTTAAGACCCGAAATCGCTGCAGACGTAGCAAGATCTGAAATCGCTGCAACCCTCAAAAACGCTAAGATGCCAGCTAGCAACCTCAGCAAAGATGGGCGTTTTGAATTATATAAATTAAAAAAGAGGGATGACATTGTCATCCTCTCAGCTGAAAAGGGCAATGCCACTGTCATCATGGATAAAATAGAATATAACAAAATTAAAGAATTACTCAACGATGGCAGCTATACAAAAATAAAAAGAGATCCCACCAACTTGCTCGTCATAAAAACCAACAAAATTTCTGATTCAATCGCATTAATTGATCAAACCAAACAGTTCTCATTGAAACCTTCTGCTGCCAGGCCACCAAGATTATACGGCTTACAAAAAATACATAAAGTAGATACACCCCTCGTCCCATCGTCTCTGCTATCAACTCCCCCACCTACAAACTGGCTCGTTTTTTGTCTGAAATCCTGCGGCCTTTCACTGGAAAAACCACCTCTGCGGTACAAAATTCTACTCACCTGGTATCGACAATCAAGGGTATTTCCCTGTCCTCAGACGACCTGCTTGTCAGTTTTTACGTAGTTTCCTTATTCACCAAAGTTCCTGTACCTGACACCATCGCAATCATTGAAGACTTGGTTCATAAAGGACTAAACACTGAGGTACCCCCCCTGGTGAGACACTGCTGAACCAATACATACTTCACCTGGAATGGAACTTTCTACAAACAGACTGAGGGCACCCCAATGGGCCCCCCCCCCTATCCCCGGTTGTAGCCAACATTTTCATGGAGAAATTTGAGACTGACGCCATCCAGACTGCCACTCTGCGCCCAACCTTATGGAAGAGGTACGTGGATGACACTTTTGTCATCTGGCCACATGGCCAGGCTGCTCTAGACTAATTCTTCGACCACATCAATTCCATACACCCAGCCATCAGATTTACCATGGAAGTCGAAAAAGATGGCAAGCTACCTTTTTTGGATGTCCTAATAAAAAAGAGACCTGATGTTTCAATGAGCCAATCTGTCTACAGGAAATATACCCATACGGATGCTTACCTGAAACCGGATTCCCACCACCATCCATCCCAGAAGAATTCCCTCATCAAGACTCTGCACCATAGAGCCCAATGCATATCCGACCAGGAACACATTGCCAGTGAACTCAAGCACGTACACCAAGCTCTTAAGGCTAATGGTTATTCCGACTACACAATCCGTAAAGCTATCACTCCAACCATGAAGAAGGACCCTCTTGAGGAGCCTTTCAAAACCATCACTTTGCCCTACATTGCGGGGATCACAAAAAAGATCTCCAAAATCTTGAATAAACACAAGATCCAGGTCCGATACAACACATTACATAAAATCCGTGATCTGGTTCCGTCTGTAAAAGATGTGATTCCGGACATACAGCAACCTGGCGTCTACAAACTAAGTTGCCTCTGTGGTAGTAGTTACATTGAAGAAACCAAACGACATGTCTTGGACCGCATTCGTGAACACAAAGAAGACCTAAAACAC